GTGTGTGTGTGTGTGTGTGTGTGTGTGTGTGTGTGTGTGTGTGTGTGTGTGTTCCTCTGCCATCACCCCACACAAACTTCCCTTCATGAAACTCTCAACCCATGAACACCCTCTCGGCTCCCAGGGCAGATCAGATAATCCTCAAGTCTTTCCCAGTGTTATCTAAAAACACAGGTCAGGTGGGACCGGCGTTCCAGGATAAGCCACATCCCCAAGTTCATATTATTCTGGGGGAGTCAAACAGAATAACCAAGCAGTAAAACAAGCTATGTAAACCTCCTTCACCCACTGTTGGCGAAGCAGAGGTCGTGCGTATCTGAGTTAAGACCGAGTGACTGTAAATACCAGACTGTGCAAGATAAATAAGCAGCGTTTAAAGCGGCTGAACTGACTGTAGATCTTCTTATCGGTGCTGACTGTGATTGCTCATTCCAACAGCTTGAAGACATTTTCAGTAAAAAACTAAAAGGTATCACAAGCCAAAGCTCAAGGTTTTTCCACACTGAGCTCAGTTTGAGGACAGAAAATAAGCTCATGATCATAGGGACCCTGGAAGTGACAGATAGTGACATGCCTCCCTTCTCGGTGAGACCTCGCATGTCTCTGCAGCTTCAGCTCTGAGACGCCACTGAAACTTGTGTTTCCCACATTTAGTGTTGAAAGTGAAATGAGGAGAATCAGGTGGAGGAATGAATATGCTCAAACCTCTCCATCAATTTAAGAATAAAAAGAAAGGAACGTGGAGCTGGTGTATAAACACCTGTGGTGTCCTATGACCAAAAATGATGTTTTTGTTACACAATATGTCCAGTAACTTGCCTTTGAGTACTTGTGTGGTGGAGAGAGCTGTAATAATATTATAAAAGTATTCTGAGAAGCACACACGCCACAGTAGTAATAGTTCTGGTAACATTTGATTGAGATTTATAGATCCCCATTGCTCTGAAGTGTTTTTAAAGTGCGGTTCAAAACGCAGAGATTTGGCTGAAAACAAGCTTCACTCGCAGTCAGCTGATCGGTCGCTCTCCTCTGGCAGCACTTTCACTCTCTCTCTCTGCACATGTGGACTGAACCGACACCGGGCTCTTGTGCAGCGGGTCGACATCATCCGATCATCACACACACACACACGCACTCACCTATCTCGGAGTTGCAGAACGCGTCCTGCGGGTGCGATGGTGCGCAGGAGCAGCCCTCCGTCAGCTGGTGGAGGTGCAGGCAGCTGAGGACGAGCAGCAGGCGGATGAGGTGCTGGAACACCGACTGCATCTTTGCAAACTTCCCCGCTCTTGTGTGCGTGCAGCTGGGATACACCGTGTGTGCGGAGTCGTCTCTGTGTAAAGTGTCCCGGGTCTCGTCTCTCTTTGCTGCGTCTCCTCGCTCGGTCCCGTTCCCCTTGCTCTCCCGGACACACGCGCGGCCGTACATATAAGCGCGCCGCACCGACGTGCACGCCCCCCTCTGCGCTCCTCTGCGGCTCGCGTGCGGTGGCGGCCAATCAGCGGCCGGCGATGCCCTCAGAATAATCACAGACGCTTTACTGGAACTTTATCCTGCTCCAGCTTCATTTCCTGGATTCAGCAACAACAAAAAGCCGTGTATGTCTGCAAGGTGCAGAAATATATACTGTCACATTTATTTTTCCTGCACTGAAAAAAGTGGCAGTGACAGAAAGACTGGAAATAGTCACGAGAAGCGATACGAATGTACAGAACGCCTGAAATTAGAAATAGGTCACACGTGATTGGCTGGAAATTCATGAAAACCAGACTTTATCTAATAGAGATGGATCTTCAGATACATTGATTGTATATATTTATGTGTTTATTTAAAGGTCCATAGTGTAAGATTTAGGTGAAAGGGTTCTATTGGCTGAAATTGAATATAAAAAAACTCCTAGTGTTGTTTTCTCTGTTGTGGAATCACGTTTTCTTTCCCCTAGAATGGGTTCTTACATTTTCTGTTTGTTAAAGACTGGACAAACTAAAACCTTTTGAGTTTTTATGACAACTAAAATGCTGGAAGCTACTGACAAATACCCATCACAATTTCTTAAAGCCTACAAGAAGACATCTTAATTTGTGGGTTCTGCCCATAACCAAAAGGTAGCCTGTACATTTTACCGTCACAATAAAACAAATTAAGAAACAGTGGAGCATAATGATTGAAAGATGAGGACATTTGCATTTTTCTCAAAGTGACTCAAACAATTAATTGATTATCAAAAACATTGCATGTGTCATTTATTCTGTTCTGATCATTGGTTAATCGACAAATCATGTCGGCTCTCATACATTTTCAACCCCAGAAAACCCAACAAACAAGATTATGACAATGTGAAGAGCACTTTCAGTTTTCACTTCCCACCCAGAATTCTCACTTAGTCATGCTGCTCACCCCCCTGACGCCCCCTTAAATAATAATACTTAATGAATGTTGAATACAGTCTGTAGCAACAATCAAAGGAAACCAGATGACTGTTAATCCCTTAACTTTGAAAGCTAATAGTGTAAAGGCAAATGAAGACTTAGGTTTTCTGTTAGATATTTGTTTTAATATGTGTAAGCAGACCATTAATGAGACATGTAAGTGTCACCTGCAGCTGCTTACGTTACATGGCCTTGTCTGATTTTATTCTGAAATTGCTTCACTAAAGTGCCCGTCAGTCAAATCAGCCAATTAGAGTCTCTTGTCTGTACTTCCGGACTGTGATCACAGACCTGAGTGGAGCTGCGTTATAGCTGCAGAGGCTTATCTGCAGAGACTGACAGCGCTGAGCTGCTGCTATACTCACAGTTATATAACCAAGCCAGAAATAATCGGGTCGAGGAACTCTGACCCTTAATGTGCCTTCATTAACAGTTATCTCGTATCAAAGAGCCTGCAAAGTCAGAACAAGACTTTATTTTGTACTTAGAGTGGCGTTGATAAGCGTGTGCTTCAAATTTCGGTTTTAAAAGTTAATTTCATAATAAAAGTTGAAAAAGAAGACTGTTTTTTCCGGTAAATTTCACATTAAGAGATTTATTGGGCATTTAGTGGTCACAATCCGAGTATTTAGTCCTTGATTTACAGTTGAAAATATGAGCCTGAGCTATTGACGTAATACAACAAGCAGGATGTGTTAGACTAGAATGATAGTTTCCATTCACCTTTCACCCATGACACAGAAATCAATAATTCATCATCCACTTTGTGTTTGTCCTTTCACTAGAACCAGAAAATAAGCCTGTGTTTGATCAGTTGTGCACTCAGGTAGAATACAGTCACACATTTCTGGATTCAGCCCAGAAGAAGAGAGCAGCAGGATATTTATCAACTGTGGAAATTCATCATCATCACCATGGATCATTGGTTGGATCCAACAGTTCTATAGTCAAGCTGCATAGCTGTAGTTATCCAGTGATAATGCCCGGTCGGATATTATTTCAGCCCCTACCCTGAAATCATCAACAGATTTGTTACATTCCTTAGTCAGACAGTGAAATGGCATGCATGACATGGCAGACAGTTTTTTTTAGTGTCCAAGACAGGCGATGAAATCAGGACAGTTCAGAGTAATAGAGACTGGTGAAAGGAGGGAATAACACATATGACTCATGCATGAAGACGTAAAACATCTCTGCATTCCTAACATTCTACATATCACAGAGATAACAGCACGAATAAAGCCAAGAGAAGCAAATGAACCAAATAAGGAAAAAGTAATGTATTGACTGGATTACAGGATAAGGCCAGACATATTCTACATGTTTATTATTGTCAACAAATCCTACAAAAAGAATAAAACCAAGAAAGAATTGATCCTACTAACAAGTATTATATTTGTAGCTCAAGTATACAGTACACAGAAGCAGTTTCTGGTAATAAATGTTGTGGCTGATCAGTGCAATTTACTGTACTCTGTTTTATTAATGCTAAATATTATTATTATTATTGTTGTTGTTTTTATTGTTATAACCGTTAGATATGTTTGCAGAAATGGACGGAGCCTTCTGTCTTCTGTGATTGACTGATTTATTTGATATTTGGTTCACTTCAACTTGAACTTGCAACATCTTCCAGCCACAAAATCATGTCTGTTTATACTCTCTCTTAAATTTAGTCAGAAAGCAACAAGTTGTTCTTCCCCTCTGGTTTGTGTCGACAGGCCTTCTGCGAAATGCATCAATCCACAAACTGAACTAGAGCTTTACAAGGCAGGTTGATAGACACTGACTTCAAAATAAAGGCAAATTAAAGTTGAATCCACACTTCATGGCAAAATATTTCTTGGAATCTAGCAAATGTCACAAAGAGGTTTTTATGAGTGTATGTAAATGAAGGTGATTTGAGTAAGTTGATTAAGAAGACCAGCTCACCATTTGTATGTGGGATCAGTGTGTCTTGTTGCAGCTGTCCTCACAGGAGAGATTTGAGCACAATCAAATACACTCCGTCCAACAACGAGGTCACATAGTGAAAATTTTGGCTAGACCAATAACATTTTGGGACACTGCGTGCTCCACTTTAACTTTACCATCAAAAATGGGACAAGATGAAACGGAAGACACTCTCTAGAATATTGCCGCTGTGTGTGTCACTGTGACATAAAAGTCAAAACCCTCTAGAAATGATGTTGTCAAACTAGGCCAACATACTGTAAACATAATGCAGCCGCAAAGTGCATTTTATTTGAAAAAGTCAAATTATAGAAAAAGGCTTATTTGGAGTCTGGACAGCCGCTGGGGGAGGAGACAACAGCATTGTGTACTGGAGGTCTTTGAGGCCTGCGTGATTCTGGGTTGACAAAAGAGAACAGCGGAGTGACTAAGAGGAAATACCTTTCATCGGACTGACAAGCTCCAAAAGAGTCACAGGAAGAGGAGAAATTTGAAAAGATATAGCACCGCCGAGAGCTACGGTCACAGGGGGACAGCGTCCAGCCCTGACTCACCCACTATTCACATGCCATTCAAGTAAAGTGGGACAGACAGAATAACCCCTGCTCTGCAGCTCTGCGCTTTGAGGACAAGAGCTTTTGGAAGTTGTGTCACAGGAGGAAAACATTGATTGGATGTTTCCTCGTTGTAGAGAGTACTGAGGTTGTGAGGAGAGTTTGGGATCTTGTGGTTTGGCAGTGGATCTCTCTCAACTTCCTGGGTGGCTGCTCTGACAGACAGGAAACACCTGTAGGCCACTGAATGAAATACAGACTGTTAGTGAGTAAACAGTGGTCAGTGGTCTTTTTAATGGGATTATGGATCTGAATTGACTTGACATTATGTAACCTGCTAAATTCTGAACATCAGAGACTGAACAGTTAGACATTATATTCCACCTCAGTGAGACAGGTATTGCTTGTTTGGGTGACATTCTCATCTCCACCCCAGTTGAAAAGGAAATGAAATCGAGTGGCGGAGCTTTCATTAATCGTTCAGTCAGTCCACTCATATGCGAAGTCAAGACATCAGAGAGGGAAACACAAACATGGCCCTGACCCATGATCCCGCTCACACTGGGACTCCCCCTGCAATAAAATATGATGACCGGTCAGTAACTTCCTCGTCCGGCGGGCCAAATGCAACCACAGCGCTCGCTGCTCAGACACAGGGTCCCCCGCTGTACTCTACTGTACATATTTGGTGCGTAAGCGGTCAGGAAACCCCACAAAATGACTATGTTGTATTACTGCATGAGACAATGAGACACCAGGCCTAACCATAAGCATGGGCACATGACAGCATGGAAATAGCTTTGATGAATTCCTTTAGGTTGAGAGAATGCCTAAACAGGGTTCCATACTGAGCACAGTGAAAAAAAATGTCTGTTTGGTTTGGTCATATAATGCTCCGGGAAAATTCCTCTCGACCACGGTCATCGTCCCAGCTATCTGCGACATGTTTAGCAATTTAAACAAAAAAGTAAAAAGGGAGAGGAATTCTTTTTTTATGTGTGAAAATATGCAAAGCACCTTAAACTACAATAATCAAAATCTATTATTAACGGATTAATGACCATGTGTGATGTGAGAACTGTGTTTGCCCCATTAAATGCCTCAGGGAGAGTTAATATGGAACTCATAAGCCGTTTTCAGACATGACCTCTGGGTAAAATCTGGAGAATTGGATATACATGTTTCATTTTTTCATCTGTCCGGTGTTAAAAGTGTCATCAACCCCCCCACACAGCGACTTCTCCCGGAATAGGATAAAGTCTGTAGAAACTGCGGAGCGTCTCATTCGGACATTTGCGTTCACACATGCACCTCATCTGGTGAATCTACAGAGGAACTGCGGAGTCCGGTGCATGTCTGAAAGCAGCTCTAGTAAAACTGGAACACATTCAGAAATCTGTAAATGGCCAGTGTTTCCCTGAAACCTGAGCAGTGGAGGGAAGGTGTGTGTGGGAGAAGGAGAGAGAAAGTTAATTTAGGGAAGATGGTTCAAGTG